GTAAGAGAGGGAAGAAAGGACTATAAGCAAATTAAAGGCAAATGAAGAGCCAGGAAAAATACTTGCGATATAAAGCCGCCATCACTAAAAAGAGAAAGGCTAAATAAAATGGGACCAGAGTGCAAACCCCAGTACCACCAAAAACATTAAAAAAAAGGGGGGGGAGGGGGGGCAAAAGCAAACTAGAATCGGTTCAATACCCATAAATCCTATGAAAAGGTAAAATATTCAGGAAATATACATTCTCCCTCATATTTTTTTAAATCAAACTTTATAATCTTGGTCAAATTTTTTTTTTTTTTTTTTTGGAGCCATTGCCCAGGCTAGTCTCTCCCAGACTCAAGAGATCATCCAGCCTCGGCCTACAGAGTGGCCGAGACCATAGAAATGCATCACTTTTTTTTTTTTGGCAGCACTGGGGTTTGAACTCCAGACCTCACACCTGCTTAGCAGGCACTCTTCCTGCATAAGCCACTCCACCAGCCCTTTTTTGTGATGGGTTTTTTTCTAAGATAGAGTCTCATGGACTATTTGCCCCGAACTGGCTTCTAACTGTGATCCTCTGGATCTCTTGGCTCCTGAGTAGCTAAGATTACAGGCACGAGCCAATGACATGCAGATAATAAAGTTTTTGAGGATGAGATTTGGCAAGACTTATGAAAATATTTTAAAATGTTCATATGCTTTGACTTAGCACCTCTAAGACTGAGACCGCATCCTAAAGAATGAGAAACAGCCCTAAAGATAGTCTTCACTATATAAGTGGCACATAACAGACTTGTAAAGTTACAGTACTTTGTAAAATGAAATGGTTCATACTTCCTAAAATTCTTTTTTTTTGTGGTTCTGAGAGATGAACTAGGGTCTCACACTTGCAGGATTCCTACCAACTGAACCATGACCCCAGTTCCTTTTGCTTTGGTTATTTTTGAGATAGTGTCTCATTTTTACACTCCAGTCATCCTGGACCTCTTCTTCTCCTTTTTAGCTGGAATGACAGGCTAGCACCACAACACCCAGCTTTTCTTAGTTGAAATGGGTCTCTAGAACTTTTTGCCCAGGGCTGGCCTCCAACTTAGATCCTCCTGACCCCTGCTTTATATCTCCATCTCATATCTAGCTAGGATTATAGGCTTAAGCTATTGCACCTGGCCCTAAAATTCATATTTTAATACATGGGAATCTAGTGGTGAAATGAGAAAATCCTTCCCCTAAGTAGTTTACACTCAAACAATGGATAGAGGTAATAATCAAATAAAGAATTTCAGACAGTAGGTTCTATAAAGAAATAACCCAGAAGAGTGCCATCTATGAAGTGACATCTAAACAGAAGTATGACTGAGTGCTGCAGGAAAATGGAATAAGAATTTTAAGGAAATATACATCACATATTCAAGAATCTCAAAAAGGCCAGGACAGGTAAAGACGCATGACGGCAGGGAAAACAGATAGATGTCTATAAAGAAGGTGGGGAGCAAATAATCTTGGAGAGGTACAGTCTAACTCAGTAACCACTAGTCATATGTTCCTAGTGTGCATTTGAAAGATGGGTAGTCCAAACCGGAATGTACTGTAAGTGGACTGCACCAGCTTACATTCAATCTATAAAAAAGTAAAGCAAGCCATTAATAATTCATTAATTACATGTTGAAAACATTTTTGGGGGGGTTAAATAAAGTATTTCGCCTGTTTCTTTTGTAACATGGCTATCAGAGAATTTCAAATTAATGTTGCTCTCATTTGTGGCTTACATTATATATTTTTATTGGCATCATTGGCCTGGGTACACAAACCCTAAAAAGTTTGAGTTTTATTGTGTATATTGAAAAGCCACTAAAGTATTTTGAGCCTGTGAGTATCAAAATCCATTATCTGTATTTAAATGATTGTTCTCCACAGGAGCAGCCAGAGTAGACTCAGAGGAGCAAAAACTGAATCAAGGATTCCAATTAGATGACTACTTTTATCATCTTACATAAAACAAAGGTGTTGAGACAGCCCATATTCAGGATAAACTTTGAAGGTAGAGTCACTCTAACAGTGTTTAGAACTAACTGCAAATAGCTGAGGATATTAAAAAAACACACAGAACAAAGGTATACCTGACAAAATGTTAACAGTGGTTATCCATGGTAGTGTTTTGTAGGTAGTTTTTAATTTGTGTATTTCTATTCATTCTCAAAATTGGACAAGGGAGAGCTCACACACATAAAGCTACTGTCCCTATGACCAAATTTAAAAAAAAAAAATTTTAAAAGCAGGATAATACAGCCCTACAAAAACAAAGCATCCCATTTTTGTCTGCAAGCTACATATTAAAAATGCTACACACACACACACACACACACACACACACACATATACACACACACACACACACACCTTCTTTCGGAAACTTAATTTGTCTGGAAGCACACCTTGGGGCATCTCAAACCTAAAAAATACTGAAACGTGTGATTAACAAATCCTGAAATACCTGCCACATATCTACACATCTTTCTCCAAATTTTCCAAAGAACACAAATGTAACAGCATAGAGTAACCCACTGGTCTTAGTGCTTTTCCTTCAGGACTCTGCCATTTGACAGACTAAAGTTCACACAAACCTGGCAGCATACACTTAGGACTGGCTCCTTTTACAATAGTATGCTAAGAAGTTTTTTAAGTAACTTCACTGAGATTGAGGGGAAGGAAGAGACAAAAGAAAGGATGATTTACTTTATAAAACATCAAGTGTTTTTCTGAGATACTTACTATTTTGCACTGAGAAAGGATACCAACTTGTGTCTGATTCTACAACAGAATTTGAAGGAAGAGATTCATTATGTACAAAACAACAGGAATCTTGGTTTTTCGTTAAACAACTAGGAACCAATCACTATGGCTATGAATCTTCCAAAACAGAATCGCAATGTTTTCCATTCATTTTATTTCTAAGTATGTCATTCTATTTTGCTGATTGCCTAAAACCTCATGCAATCTGCATTATTTAGAGAAACTCTTGCACTTGGGCAACAAGAGCTGGAAACAAGAAATGCTCATAGATCACACCCGTTAAAAGCAAAACAAAATTTTAAAAAGGTTATCTAATATCTAAATATTTGTGGATTATGGGAGATTAACAGTATTATAAAGCGATGAAGTGAATGAACTACAGCCACACCTAGTTTTTCTAAAGTTCAAAACAAAAGGAAACTAAAGGATCCCACTGTTTGAGATACGAAAATTCAATCCACTAAAATCCACTAGACTAAGAATGTTTGCTTCAGTAAGAAAAGGTAAACAGGGAAACAAGCCAGGTAAGCCATTTTTTCGTAAGCAGATCCAAGTTTTGGTAATGCTCCAACTCTTGGTTTAGGGGAAAAAGTCTTTTATTATCTTTTGATACTATAGCGTATTAGGTATTCCTTTGTTATTAAATACATTTCGGTTACTTTTTTAAATATCTTACTGATTTATAATTGCAGATTTCAGGCATAAAATGTGAGTTTTGACATGTACATAACACACAGGAAATTATCTCTACACTCAACTGTAAGAATTCATCAACCCTTAATTTTTCTTCTGTACGTTTGTATTAAATGTATTTTTTAAACGTAAAAGAAAAAAAACAAGACTACCTGCTTTGGATAATTAAGTATGTACATTTTACAAAATATTTTCCCTGAACACCATGTTAAGTCAGCAAGTGCCCTAAATCTGGTGACATAATTACTACAGAAGTAACCTTAAAACTTTGTGATATTTTAGCTTTAAAAAGTTAAATTCCGAATTTGGTTTGAAAGAGGAATTTAATCTGGCTTCTCGGAGCATCAGAATCTTTAAAGGCTACCCATGTTTTTTGCTAAACTCTTTTCATAAACTGCCTGTGGGACCCCGGGCCCCAACTTGCTCACACTGGTCACAGCTCCGGGGCTGTGAAGGTAAACCAGAGCGCTGTCGCGGGCGGCTGGCACGGCATTTCAAACCCAGGTTAAAATGGGGTGGAACACCGCACTTGCTCACGCCTCTCCAATCAGAAACCTGAAAATACGGCCTCTGAAGAGCGACAGAAGCCTCTGAATCCCACGCGACCCGACGCGGGCTGCGAAAGCGCGGGGTTCCCGAGCCGGGCGGGCAGGGGGCGTCGGCCGCGCTCCGCGTCGCGGAAAACTCGGCAGGTGGACAGCGAGCGTCCCCAGCACGGCTGGGGCGAGGGGAGGAGGGGGGCGCCGGCCCGGCCCGCGACACGGCCGCCAACTGCTCGAGGGCGGCGGATGGCTCGCGGGGGTTGGGGTCCCGACCAGGGCGCGCCCACCCGACGGGAAGCGGGCCGGGGACCACAAGCGCCCCGCGCGCCCCAATCCCGGCCCCAGGACTGCCCGTCCTCAATTTCCGCAAATGCCCGGTCCCGCCTGCGAGCGCGCGGCCCGCCGCGGGCCCACCACCTGCTGCGCCTCCGGCTGCCCTCCGCTTCCGGCTCGCCCGCACCGGGAGGGGCCGGGGGCGGGCCTCCGCGCGCCTCAGCCCGGTGGGGGAAGGGAGCGACGGGGGAGGGGCAGCGCCGGGCCGGGGGTCCGCGGCCGCGCTTCTCACCTGGCGGCGGCTCTCTCCGCCTGACGCGCTGCCCGCCGCCGCCGGTCGCCGCCGGTGAGTGGGGACAGGTGAGGCCGCCGAACGCCTGCTCGCTCCTGCCCCGCCGCCGCCGGCCCCTCCGTCCGCTGTTTATTAAACTTTTCTGTTTGGTTGTTCAGCCTATGACGCGACCTCCGAGGAGAGCCCCGGGATTGGCCAGCGCCCTGCGCTGACGCGGCAGCCCCAGCCCGCTGCCTAATTATTACCAGCCCGGGCGGAGCCGCAAGCCGGAGGAGGCGAGGAGGGGCGGGGCCGGGGCTCGGAGCTCGCGCCCATTGGTCGGAGTGGAGAGTAGGGGCGGGGCGAAGCGCGGGGAGACGCTTCTCCGCCCCCGCCGCCTCCGCGGTCCCTCTGTTCTCTTGCCTTGGGGATCTTACCCAGCCGGTGTTCCCTGCGTTCTGCTGCTGCCGGAGGACTGTTGGAGGGGTTCTGCGGGGCTGATAGGACCGGATGGTATGGGCTCAGGTCTCTGCTACCTTGCAGGGAGGGGCGTGTTCCTGTCTGGCAGTGAAGTGGCAGGAAGAGTTGCGCTCCACCTGCCAGTTGTGTAAGAAGGAATGCTGACCTTCACTCCCCACGTAACGACCAGGTGCCATGTCTTTGCAAGCGCAAAGTCCAAGTTCCGTGCATCTTCTCGGAGGCAGAAGTCTGCCGGTCCTGAGCCCAGACTTGGAAAGAGAAGCAAGCCTAGACCGTGCGTGCTCACGTGGGTAATGCACACATGCACGGGCCTCCCAGCTCCCCTGATCGCGGCCTTTTCCACAAGCATGGGTTCCATCCAGTCCCCGCTGCGAGGCACAGGTCGCCCTGCGCTGGGGACAAGGGACAGCAGGGACACTGGCTCTCTGCAGCTTCTCAGCCTTGCTTCGCGCAGCACCAGCGGGAAGTACATACACTTAATTCCAGATTATTCAGTCCTACCGTGAATGAGGGGTTCCGGTGGAGTCCACAGAAAGGAGAACCGAGTTCGGAGAATCCTGTCTTTATTTTAAATTATGGTATTTTGTTGTGGGATTTTGGTATTAATCTTTGTAAAAAAAAAAATCGTAATGCTGGCTATCTTGATTACTGAGTTTTTTGGTGTCCCCTAAAATTTTATGCCCGAAGGATCTTCACTAGTATTACTGCAGTGGAAGCTCACTTAGGGGCCCGGGCTTTTGATGGGGTTTTGATGGTGCAGCTTGCTCAGGGCCTGTAGGGATAGAAAGCGGTTAGTTGTGGAGGGAAGATAGAGACCAGAACGAATTGTTCGAAGAGGGGGTGGCATTGGTTTCTGACACGGAGGAGTGCAGAAGCCTGCTAGGAAAGGAAGGTAGCTCTCCTGAAGAGACCCCAAGATGCATCGCTGACTTTGGAAAACACTGTCATTTTGTCGTTTCATGAGGTGACAAGCTTCAGGGGCTTGGTAAATATCTGAGGGAACATCCAAAGCTAAAACTAAAGTAAAAAATAGGAGCAGAGAGTGGTCAACTGGGACCTAAAGGTATTCAAACTGAAGAGGCATTGAACATCTATTGAAAATATACTAACAATGAATGGGTTAACCCGACAACCCATTTTGTCCAGGTTATCCGTGATTTTAGGTTCCATTATGACAGGTCTAAAAAGCCAAGCGGAATAGTTGACTTTCCTTAGTGAAAAATGGGAAGCCATCACAGAACTAAGGGGGTAAGGAAATGGTGTATTATAACAATATGGTAGATACCCATGCTACTAAGAATAATTTTGCAACCTCGAGTTCTTTCAACTATTCACTGTTTTTTGGTCATTGAGTAGTAGAACTTTGTGGAAAGAATTTAGGGTTTTCTCTGGCGTTCAAATTCTTGCCCAATCCAGGTGCTGCTGTCTCATGACTGTAATCTTAGCTACTCAAGAGGCAGAGATCAGGAGAATTGAGGTTCAAAGCCAGCCAGGGCAAAGAGTTTGAGAGACCTTATCTGGGAAAAAACCCATCATAAAAAAAGGGCTGGTGGAGTGGCTCAAGGTGTAGGCCCTGAGTTCAAGCCCAAGTACCACATACACACCCAAAATATTCCTGCTCAGACTCATTTTGACTTCCTAGGTCTCAATTTTCCCAAACTGTTTCTACCAGGTTGGAAACTGTCAATAAACAAACCAAAGATCCCAGCCTTTAAACTCTGACAGAGGGAATGCAAATATTAAATGTAATACAAAACTTACATATGTTGTGAATTAGAAGAAAAAGAAGAGCAGGTTAAAGAATGGAGGAGGAGGAGGGCAGATTACAGCCTTAAGAGGGATGGTCAGGGAAGGACTCATTGGGAAGAGGAAGTTTAAACAGAATTATAAGAGGCAAGGTTGTTAGGGACGTGAGAAGCATTCTATCTAGACTGAGGGAACTGTTACAGCACTGGTCCCAAACCAAGAACAGCAAGGAAGCTATGTTGCTGGAGCCATGTGAGCCAGGAAGAAGAAGAGGAGAAATTTAAGCAAGGACAAATCGTGCAAGGCCCTGTCGGCCATTGTGTACACTGTGACTCTTATTGTTAATGAAATGGGAACCAGTACAGGACTTCGAGCAGAAAAGTAACATGGTCTGCCTTACATTTTAAAGGATATCATGAGCGGGGCACCGGTGGCTCATGCCTGTAATCCTAGCTACTCAGGAGGCAAAGATCAGGAGGATCACTGTTTGAAGCCAGCCCAGGAAAATAGGGCAGTGGAATGACTCAAGGTGAAGGCCCTGAGTTCAAGCCCCAGTACCGCAAAAAAAAAAAAAGTTCTTTTTTTGACACAAAGGTTAGGAGCAAGAACCCTGACTAGGAAGGTCCTGTCTGAATCCTCATGAAAGATAATGGTGACTTAGCAAAGTAACAAGGAAAGACATCATGAGATGTGGTTAATTCTGGATATATTTTGAAAGTAGAGCCAACAGAATTTCCTGATAGATGAGATAATACATGGGATGTGGGGTGGACTGAGTTAAAGATGACATTGAGTTTGGGCCAGATGCCTGTAATCCTAGCTACTTGGGAGGCTGAGATTGGGAGGATCACAGTTTGAGGGCAGCCAAGGCAAATAGTTTGAAAGACCACATCTCCAAAAAAACCAGAGCAAAATGAACTGGAGGTGTGGCTCATGCAGTAGAGTACTGAGTTCAAACCCTAGTCCCACCAAAAAGGGGGAGAGGGGAATTGGCTTGAGCACCTGAGAGGTGGAGCAAGAGGGAAATCGAAAGATTATTTTTGCACTTGTTGGGTTGGAGATTATAGCACATCCAAGTGGAGATGTCAGGCCAGTTACTGGGGTTTAGGGCAAAGGTGTGTGGGAAATATAAATTCCAGAGTCATTGTAACATATGTAATACTTAAGGCCTTGAGAGCCATCAGGAAGTAAGCAAAGAAGAGCAAGGAGCTGGGGTGTGGCTCAAGTGGTAGAGTGCCTGCCTAACAAGCATGAGGCACTGAGTTCAAACCTCAGTACTGCGAAAAATAAAGAAAGAAAAGAAAAGAAAGGACTGAGGCTCAGACTTGAATTTAAAGTTCATAGACAAGTGCAGAAATTAACAAAGTAGGTAGAAGGAAATGACCTTGATGCGAAGTGGGAGAGGGGTATCAAGTGATCAACTGTCAAAAGCTGCTAGTTCAGACCCAGACAAGGTATGCACATCTATAATACCAGCACTTGAGAGGCTCAGGAAGTAGGATCTCAAGGCCAGCCTGGACTATATAGCAAGTTCAAGATTAGCCTGAGCTACATAGTGAGACCCTGTCTCAAAAACACAAAAAAGCTGCTAGTTGGAGTACAATGCAACTAGCTGTTGCATTTAGTATCGTGAAGGCCTATTGGGAAGTACGGTTTAGTCGGATGGCAAAAGCCTGATTGGAAGGGTACTAATGCGTCCTTATTACGGAGTTTAATAAGATTTGTGAAAGATTTTCCTTAGCTGGCAAGGCTATGAGCAAATTCTTAGGAATTTTTATCTTAAATGTATTTTTCTGTTTTTTTTCCTTTGTCCAGTTTATTATTATATTAACTCTGGCAGCTAACATAGTGGACATTCATGTATGTTTGTTATGAATTTGAAGAAGTAGAATTTACATGACCTTTACTGCTTTTCTTCATTCAAAATCTGCACTGAGAGGTTGAGAGATTGTAGCACTGCCTAGTCCACTGCCCCTTGTAAGCTTCAGGATGTTAGGAAAATCATGTAAAATAGAGTTGTTGGGAGGGTCAAAATATACTACATTTGTGTGGATTCAATGAGTGTTGTATGCCAGCTTTCTGCCAGCCTGGGTAGTGGGTGCTGGGATACAGCCGGTAAGATATATATATAGGGGTTTGAGCTCACGGCCTCACACTTGCTCAGCAGGTGCCCTGCCACTTGAGCCACTCCACCAGCCTGGTAGTGATATGTGCACAGCTAAGAATATACTAAAAATTACTGAATTGTATTCTTTAAATTGGTGAATTGCATGGTATATTTTAAATCTCAAAAAAGCAATTAAAAAAATCAAAATGATCCAGGAAATCATCAGAGACTACTTTGAGAACCTATATTCAAATAAATTTGAAAATCTAAAAGAACTAATTTGCGACAGATTTCTAGATACAAAAGATGATCACCCAAAAACTGAAACCAGAGGAAATTAATCACCTGAATAACCTTATAACACAAAATGAATTACCAGCAGCCAATCCAAGAGTCTCCCCAAAAAAAAAAGTCCAGGACCTGAATGGATTCTCTGCTGAATTCTATCAGACCTTTAAGAAGAACTGATACCAACCCTCCTTTAACTTTCCGATGAAATTAGAAAGGGAAGGAAAAAACTGCCAAACACATTGTATGAAACCCAGTAATATCACTTATCCAACCAGCAAAGGACACTCTCTAAAAGCCGAAGAACATAATTAGCCAATCTCCATTTAATGAACATGATGCAAAAAAATCCTCAACAAAAATAATGGCAAATCGAATTCAGGCAAACACATCAAAAAAGATATTCACCACGACCAGGTAGGCTTCATCCCAGGGATGCAGGGGTGTTCAACATAGCAAAATCAAATAAACGTAATAACACCACATTAACAGAAGCAAAGACAAAAACCACTTGATCATCTCAATAGATGCAGAAAAAAGCCTTTGATAAGATCCAACATCATTTCATGATAAAAGCTCTAAGAAAACTAGGAATAGAAGGAAAGTTCCTCAACATTATAAAAGCTATATATGAACAACCTACAGCCAGCATTATACTTAACGGAGAAAAATTAAAACCATTCCCTCTAAAATCAGGAACCAGACAAGGATGCCCACTATCTCCACTCCTATTCAACATAGTACTGGAATTCCTAGCCAGAGCAATTAGGCAAGAAGAAGGAATAAAAGGAATACAAATAGGTAAAGAAACTGTCAAAATATCCCTATTTGCAGACGACATATCCTATACCTTAAAGACCCAAAAAAACTCTACTCAGAAGCTCTAGACATCATCAATAGCTATAGCAAGGTAGCAGGATATAAAATCAACATAGAAAAATCATTAGCATTTCTATACACTAACAATGAGCAAACGGAAAAAGAATGTATGAAAACAATTCCATTTACAATAGCCTCAAAAAAAATCAAATACCTAGGTGTAAACCTAACAAAAGATGTGAAAGACCTCTACTAGGAAACTACACTTCTGAAGAAAGAGATTGAGGAAGACTATAGAAAGTGGAGAGATCTCCATGCTCATGGATTGGTTAGAATCAACATAGTAAAAAATGTCGATACTCCCAAAATAATCTACATGTTTAATGCAATTCCCATCAAAATTCCAATGACATTCATTAAGAGATTGAAAAATCTACTGTTAAATTTATATGGAAACACAAGAGGCCACGAATAGCCAAGGCAATCCTCAGTCAAAAGAACAATGCAGGAGGTATCACAATCCCTGACTTCAAACTATATTACAAAGCAATAACAATAAAAACAGCATGGTACTGGCACAAAAACAGACATGAAGACCAGTGGAACAGAATGAGGACCCAGATATGAAGCCACACAACTATAAGCAACTTATCTTTGACAAAGGAGCTAAAAATATACGATGGAGAAATAGCAGCCTCTTCAACAAAAACTGCTGGGAAAACTGGTTAGCAGTCTGCAAAAAACTGAAAACTAGATCCATGTATATCACCCTATACCAAGATTAACTCAAAATGGATCAAGGATCTTAATAT